CGCTACCACTGAGCTATTCGGGCTTGCGCTTGACCTCCTGTAGGACTGTAGTGGATACTCTGATCTGACACTAGTAACTAGTGTGTTGGCGAGCTACCTAGAATGGTGGCCACATTGCAAACCTGACTGATAAAGTTCAGTCCGCACCAAAGAAATGACTAGACATATCACGCTAGTTACTAGTGTCCAATCAAACTATCCACTACAGTCCCACAGGAGGTCAATCGCGTGCCGAAATAGCTCAGTGGTAACGTCCCTAACTGTAGCACTAGGTGACACGGGTTCAAATCTCAGAAGGGACATGAGTTCCTTCAATGCTGCAGACACGCCTTGCTGACTGGTGAATGCCAACTAGCACGAAACCTAGGTCAGGAAAGGCTTCCTGTGGCTGTTTGCTTCCAACCATCTAATATCGACAATGTTAATCTATTGTCTAGTACGTCTTTGTACCCAACGTCCTTAAATGTATAAGTCGTATCACAATACTTGTTGACCAGCTTAGTGTTTCATTAGTTTAAAAATACGTGCATACACGCACACAGAGAGACACAAGAACAAACAAGTGTTTTAAAGCTTAGAGTGAATGATTTAAAATAAATAATAATAAATAGATAACTTACTGTTGAACAATTTTCAACAACTTAAACAGAATACTACTGGTCACAGAGTAACATAAAAATAGAGTCAGTCACACACATTAAGTAAACACTGACCACCTCTCAATACGTATGTATGTATGTGTGTGTACGTAATACAAAATCCAAAAATGAATCATACTTTTCAATATAACAGACATATCTCAGAGTTTTAATTCATCAGAGTAACAAGTTTTATTATCATTTTGAAGTATTTTGTTTACAGTCGATTCTTGAGTTTATTTTTATTGAAAATAATCAAAATCTAAGATAAAGAAGAAACAACATGGTTATTTTTAATAGTTTATAGGCTAGAAAGTGAGTCGGTGCCAACCATACATGTGTTCAGCAGTTAAATTATCGGCTGACGGAAGTACTCCTACACCTTATCTAGCAGGTAAACAGGGAAGGTGAGGCTAGCAGCTCCACTCCACGTTAAAAAAGAATAACACCACTGCTAGTGAAAATTCCAAGCTGATCTAAATTCCACTCAGAAAGCAAAGCAATAAAAATGTCAGTTACGTAGAGAAGAAAAAAGAAAACCAAGTAATGAATCCCCTCATTCTGTTTTTCCTCAATGTAGTAAAACTCCATTTACTAGTTTACATTTAATTGCTTCGATATTGAAAAAGAAACATGATTGTTACCAAAATTACACAATATCGTTTCCAGCTTATCGTATGAAACTATTTGTTCGTCTGCTTGCCTTTATTTTACCGGTGGCTGTTCATTTAACACATAATGATGATGTATCAACTAAACAAGGACTCTCCAAGAACTGGCCAGGAATCATGCTCCTGTCAATGCCAAGTGAAACCCTGAGTCGTATCGTCCTGAAGAGATTAAACGACGCACTGGAGACAGAACTCCGCCCCACCAGAACAAGCTGGATTCAGGAAAGGCAAATCATGTACTGACCAAATTGCAACTCTACAAATCATCATCGAACAAAGCATGGAATGGAAATCAAACCTCTACCTCAACTGTATAGACTTTGAGAAGGCCTTCGACAGCGTTGACCGTGAAGTAATTTGGAAATTACTCGAGTACTATGGCGTACCCCAAATATTCATCAACCTTATTCAACAGCTGTATGACAACGGAACATGTCAAGTGATCCACAACGGAAAACTCAGCAAGGCGTTTGAAGTAAACACAGGAGTCAGACAAGGGTTCCTATTATCTATCACCAATTATATTCCTAATTGTGGTGGACTGGATTATGCGTCAGACAGTGGGTGGGAAACGAGAAGACAGGAATATCCTGGACCAACCGACGTGAAGAACCTAGAAGATCTGGATTTCGCACGTGGATGATTTATGCTTGATGTCACACAAAATCGAAGGCTTACAAACGAAAACCGATAAGCTGGTCGAAGAAGCAGCCGGAGAAGACAGGACTCCAAGTGAACATAGACAAGACGGAGGTTATGAAAATAACCAACCAACAACAACAGCAGCAGCAACATCCAGCGCCAATCACCATCGACGGGAGGGATTTGAAAGAGGTTACTTCATTCACTTATCTAGGGACCATTGTCTCAACTACAGGAGGAGCGGATGAGGATGTCAAATCGAGCGAGAATCGGGAAGGTGAGAAACACATTCATCAACCTGAAACAACCAATCTGGAAATCTTCATCAATTTGAAGAGTGGATATTTTGAAAGATTGTTATTATCTTTCAGAGAATAATGCAATAATTTGATTCTTATGCTTGAGGAGCATGGTAAACCTGAATAGTTTAGAGGTTAAATTCTTTAGGTTTGATACAACACGGTGTATATAGGGATCTCTGTGAGAATATATAATTCTCAACGATTGGGAACCCATCTTGATGACAACTGCTGAAGGTTTGCTGGGCTAGATGGGGATTTCCACTCTGTTTCTGAATCCATAGATATTTTACAAACAGTTTTTCTGGTAAGTTTTAAGTTTATCATTGGGAAAATGAATACGTTCAGTGGTAGCTTTTAACCTGAAACCAATCTGGAAATCTTCGTCACTCAGCCAGCATCAACAACAAAATTCAGTCGGATTTTCAATACAAACGTCAAGTCAGTCAGTTCTTCTATACGGATCAGAAACTTGGCGGGTCACAAAGAATATTTCCAACAGCCTGTTGCAGACCAGACCTTTATCAACAACTGTCTTCGCTGGCTCTATACTGAAGAGCAGATGGCCGGAAACAATCACCAAGAAGAAACTATGGGTGGGAACAAACAAAACAAAACAAGAACCAATCGCCAACCAACAAATATGCAGGAGAAAGTGGAGATGGATGGATGGGACACTCGCTGAGGAGGCCGCTGGGGGATATCGCGCGCGCGTCAGGCCATTGCTCTAGTAAAACCAGGCCGAAAGGGAAGCGGCAAGTGGGACGTCAGTGGAAGGGTGACATGGATGAGATCGTGTGAAGAGGAGTTGAAACAGTATGGACCAACATGGATGCAAGTGAAAAGTATAGCCGAAGGAAGACAGAAGCAAGTGGAGACGTGCAGTTGAAGCCCTATGTTCCACTAGGAGTCCAAGGAAACAATAATAATAATAAATCAACTAAACAATTTCGAGTGTTCATTTGCAGGGATTTGATTGATTTCAAATGTGATGACGAACTAACTTCAGCTAGAAAACCAATAAAAACCAGGGAGTACCGGACAATTGTTTCATACTCCTTCAAGACTGTGCAGCATTACACACCCGTAACGCTGTTGAGAATCGAATCCAGGACGTTCAGGTCAAAGAGGTGGGCTCGTTGACCATTCAACCACTGACATTGAATTTAATGACCTATGAGCCCTAACTCATCGATGACGTTAACTGGCGGTCTCACTATGCATTGCGAATTGACTTAAGTTAAAATCCACGGACTGGCCATTGGATTCCGTTCAAGTAGCTGAATGGTCAATCAGATCACATCGCAACTTGTAGGTCATGAATTCAATCCCTGATGGCATCGTGGATGCCTATCGCAGAATAGTATCAAAATAGGACGAAACAACTGTCTAGTACTCTTGGTTTTCAATGGTTCTCTAACTAATATCAATCCGCGATCGAACTTTAAACCGTTTGATATCATGAATCTGTTGATAATCCTATTGTGATGCAAGGATTGAAATCAAGAAATATTAACGAATCGCATAGCATTGCATGATGTAATTTCAGAGAATTTTCGTTTTCTATATATATAATGTCCTAGACTGATACACCTATGAAATAAAATCGCTACTATAAACAACCGAATTTAAAATGGGGCTAAAAGTTTGACAACCAGTTAGATAAAGAATTATAGTTATTTTTCAAGTATTAGTTTTGTAGGGATTTTGTTTGATTGCATGGAGGATTTCATCATGAGCTGACATTAGTTAGAGAACCATTGGTAAACCTGGGAGTACCGGACAGCTGTTTCTTCCTAGTTTGGGAATCTTCATCAGTACCCCGGTGGGTGCGTACTGCTGTACAGGGGTTCTTTAACTGAAGTCAGCTCATGATTGAATCCTCCATGCAATTATAGTTATAAAAGAACACGATGGAATAATAAAACCACGAAGAAAAAATTGCTAAACTGACAGGCCAAGGCAGAAAACAAAATTTCCAAGATATCATAAGTACCTTCAAAAAATAAATACAAATTTTGACTGGAATTTTATCAATTCTCAATTTGAGAGCATCCAACCAATAAAGATATTGAGAATGATCTAACACTAATTTTTCGACACAAGGTGCATTTTTCTTATTACAAATCTATCGTACAATATTCCTCAGTAAAATTCTGAGCTTCTTCTCAAAACTCATGTCGAATTTTTCTATGATCATAAACTAACAAAACCCTAATATACTGGTAGATAAACAGGCAAGGATAACATTTGTTTAGGTCAATTTCGCTTTCCCCGTTGACTGACTGGGTCGGAATGCTTGGCCTCTGTTGACATGTCGGCTCCTAGCACAGATGTTTCAACGATGTTTAGGGATTAACATGATGTTATTCGGCCGGTGGTAACTCCCAATGGAGTCGCGGGTGAGTATTTCACGCTATGTGGAACCCGTCAGAATCACAAAAGGTGACTCTCGTGACTTGAGCGGTCTAGTAAAGTGTTTGAGACAATGGGTGCTGGGTCCGGGTCTCAGTGGGAACAATAATCACTGAGGATTACAGGTATATCTAGTTTACGAGTCCCAAATAGGATAAAGTGTGCACATCAGTAAGGAAACATTCATTTTAAAACTTTATAAACCTTGGAGATTATAAGTCTATACATAATAAATAAATGCACCATTTTAGAATTCCAACTATGTGACTTTACTTTGGTGCACAAAGTTCTTATTTCCCTCCTAATTAAGTTAAAATCAAGCGTAATGTACTTACTTCCATTTCCATACGTAAGTTACCACTGTCACGCATTAGCACAATTCCTGATGGCTTTCTATGCTCATCTGCTTCCGTCTTTCGAACACTAAATACTGAGCAACTTGCATATGCAGGCACAGTGTCTCCAGAAGTGAAGTTTCTTTGATCTTCGGATTCATCTAATTGATTTCCTGAATAAACCTCCGGAGATATCAGTAAATTGGATGAATTCGATAGACTTAACAAATTGGACTGATAGGCTAAATTTGATTGACAATTCGGAGGAACAGGGAAAGGTATGTTTATTGAATCCGGTAGTTTTGGTCTGCCACCAGAGTGAGTTTCATCTGATAGATTTTCTTCCATTAGACTATTATGACTTGGAACAGTTGCATTACTGCTACTAGATGCAGTTGTCGTCACCTTCATGACCGCTGAAGGTAAATGATTCATATTGGCACTGATATAGGGTTCATTACTGGAGTACACTTCAACATCTCCATTACATGTCAAGGTACGACTGTTACATTCAAACGGTTGTGAAAGAGTATGTCCACATTCAGAAGTGTGTTCATTTTTACCAGAAGCTGTACGTATTTGCACTGATCTACTTTCAGAAGCAAGTTTGTCATTATACATTTTTGACTGAGATGAGTCTAAGCGATGAAGTAAATGTCCTGTTTCAGGATCTTGCGGTCTATTACTCATTAACACGACACCCATAGTCTTTTCAACATTAGAACGAATATTTTCTGATTTGTTTTTGCGAATAGTCGAAGATGTACAACAAAGTCCAAATTTAAGCTCACGTAATGCATCACTTTGAACAGATTTGCCATGTTGTATATCTATATGAGAAGTGGTTGTGAAATAATGATTTGGAGATTTAAAACATTGTTTCCTTGATGTCTGACGAACAACGAAGTGGATCAGCAAGCCAAATATAATCCAGAAGATAATAAAGCCGAAAAGTAAAATATACGCCCATAAGGGGAAAGTGAAGTGTTCCAAAATATTTATTTCATAATCAGAAGACTTAGTAGTAGGACTTTGCAACCCCGTAACAACTGATCTGAGATGGTATCCAGGTCCACGCACTCCTTCACCTCTGCAGTTTACTCCGGATATGTAGATAACATAATCAACAAATGGATTTAAACCTTGAATACTTTTGGAGTGGACATCTGCAGATACCTGAAGATGAAAGAATATTTTTTTTCAAAATTATACTAACAGAACCTTTAGAAAAATTTCTCTATTAATGAAATTAAGAATAGGCATGAGAAATATCACTGAATATGTCTAAGGAGGTGAAAAATATGCAAATGATATCCCTTGTGATTTTAATGGCAAAATCCTTCCAAGTCCTCAAATTTACCTAAAACAAGCGAAAGCCAAAACCCAACTGAAGAAATTCAAAATTACTCAGTTTTATGCGGACCATTTCCATGTCAATTCAGTGAGACGTATTCAGATACAAAATTTATTTGCATTTATTGAATTACTTTGGCTACGTAAAAATGTCCCAGCATATTTTAAAAACGCATTAGAATAATAGGTTTTGCAGGAAACAGTTCATTAAAGATGTCTTCTCTGACAGGACATCACCTCTACGTCAGAAATTACATAAGTTGGCAAATGCCATTTGAGTCTTCTGTTTCGGTGCTGAGATTTAGTCAGTAATCAGTCCACTATGGTTGATGCAACTCCTCAAAAAGGGTGGAGTGGCCAACGTGCTCAATCACTTCATCTACCTTAAATCTACGTGTCGGTGCAAATCAGTCCTGCAGTACCACATTGCATTTGACACCAGAAACTCACATACCAAGTATTTGCATATTTTTGCTGAATGCGTTCAGAAGACTCTACACTTTGTCAGCATCCTCACCCAGGAGGACAATATCATCCCTGATAATAAGTCAATGTCTAAGTCCCTGAAGCCTGTTAGGGCCAATTCCATCAGTACAGTTATTGTGAAGTTAAACAAAAGTGGAGACATTAGGCATTCCAAACTGTCATCACTTTGGACTATAACTCGCCATCAGCTTTTGAACAGCTGCGTGAGTTAGAGTGGAGAGCCTCCACTAGTGCGATAAACTTTCACGGCCAAAGATTGCCCTGGCACCTCTCAGTCGACCGAGTCGAATGCCACCTTCAGGTCAAGAAACATAGCAAGTGTTGAACACTAGTAAGTATGCCTATGTTTTAGAATCTGTGAAAGGGTTACGTGTAAAAACGTCCCGGTGACATGAAATATGTATATATTCTCAATAACATACTACAGCCACAAAAATTAGTAATATCAAAGCCATCAAATTTAAGTCTGCTAGGCTTACTGATACTATAATGTATCATAAAACAACTCTAAAATGAGCGAACGTATTTCACATTAAGGTAAGACGTTTCAAGCACAAACTATTGCTCATAATCATGATATGAATGCAGATACAGGCTACTGCCAACCCTGCAGCAGTACTTTAAACTTGGACAGTACAGAGCGCATACCATACTTAAAGACGCTGATCTACAACTGATTAGGTGAGATTTGAACAGCCTGAATGCTACCGAACAGTAAGATGATATCACTTGCGTACTTGAGATAGAAAAGTTATTCTCTAGGAAGAAAGACCTGACTGGACTGTGAGTTAATTCAAAAAAACACAACACTAGTACTATTTGAAGGATGGAAGTGCAGTACCCAGCAATTAATGAGGGAGCTAGATGCTATTCAAATGAAGTAAAGGACATTGGTGGTCACTTCACCGTTATTCATCTATCTAGCCGTTATTTTTATTTTTTATGTGGTGCACCTAAAAATATAAATTAATCGCCAAAAATATCATAAAAGTGAAAAAATAAATATAAGGACAGTTTTACCAACTATCTACTATTTGAAGTTAAACAAGTGTCAGAGATTCACATATAAAGGAACACTTACATGTAATGAACGACTGAATTGACTTTCATTTGCCAAAATGTGCAATGTATATCCCAAAATTGCACCGTTTGCCACTCTCAATTCAAGAGGCCTCCATGAAAGACGAATACCATCAGGCGAATGAGAATAGTTGGTACTTCGACCTTGCGACATATAATCATCACTGGGAGGATTAACTTGAAAGATCCATTCAGCGCTTATTAGTTGTGGTGAGAAGCTAGGTGGAGCATCGAGAGTCAAGGCTAACTCGGAGCGGCTAGATCTGCTCAAAATTCGGCCATATGTTGAGTCATCTTTGAAGGCCTCAATATCAATTTCGTAGCAGCTGAACGGAGACAGGTTACCGACAACAGCTTTCGCATTAGGGTAATCTCGAGACACACTTTGACTAATAATAATGCTTTGGGTGTCCGGTTCCGTCTCCCGCAGGGACAACATATCCTTGTTGTTTGCATGCAGTGAATTGGTATTGGCCATTAAAACTGTTTGTTCCAGGAGCTTAGAAGATGTGAAACTACAGTGAATGGAGCTGGTAAGTGAGAAGTCATTATTATCACTATCATAAACATCTAGAGATCCGTGCTCTTCAACACTCCGATGTACGGAAGAATAGCTTGGTGGCTGCGATGTAACAGCAGCTATGCAGCGCGACATCGGAACAGATCTGACGTTTAATCTGAAACCATCAATGCGCTTGAGCACTTCATTAGAAGCTCTTGCAGTCCAACTAACTAGAAGCTCAGATGATGAGAGAGTTCTAACAGATATGCGATGCAAGTCAATAGATTGAAATGTTGACACAAGTTCTTGAAAATCAACCGCTGTTTGGCTACCAGAAAACAATGTGTCCGGATGTTTTAATGAAATGTCAGAAATTGTTTCGTTTGTCTTTGAGGGAAACACAAACTTAACCTCTGATGGTTTTCTCATTGTATACACTAGATTGGGTAACAAATTTCCAGCACTCATACCAAAGTCATTAACTTTCCTAACTTCAACCCAATAGCCAGTATCAGGCAACAATCCTGTAATACGAATTTGCGTGAGATAGGTTTTTTCTACTGCAACCAGCCAATTATCCAACTTAAAAGCTTTTCTGTTTGGTGACTCACCCTTGCTTGGAGTTATGCGCTCTTCAATAACTTGATTATCTTCAAGCCTCTCAAGACCTTGGACTGCGACCGTCGATGATGAATGGATTTGTGGTAATATGTACACCCTATAACTCGATGATTCAGATGAGTTATTGTCAGACCATTTTAATACCATCCATGTGTCACTGACACTCAAAATTTTTACATCTGTTGGTGGAGATGGCAATTGTTTTATTGTACGCGGCTGATAATTAGAACCATTAGATTCCCTTAATCCCAAAACAAACGTGTACTGCGCAAACCTGTGACTTACTTTGCTGTACACTGAACAAGTGTAATTCCCAATATCATCCGGTTTAAATGGGTATAAGAGCAGAGATCCATCAGTCTCTATGGAGACTCGAGAGTTTGACGATCTAGATATAGGAACTAACTCGCCATTATGTTGCCATATTAAGTGTGGCCTCATATTTATTTCACTGCTTTTACTAATAGACTGCGCCCCATGTAAAGAAATGAAAACAGGATCCAGTGGAACTCCACAAACAATCCTCACTGGCGTTGGCTTGCTGAATAACTCACCGAAAATGTACGAATTTGATACAGCACCCACGCGACCTGGAATCAGCTTTGGATTAAACTGCACCTGAACATCAGTTAGGCTTCTAGTTAAGCCAACAGGAGATGAAGCTCGGCATTCATAGGTGGAGGTGTCTTCTGGTCTAGCTGCAAGTATAATGAGACTTCCAGAACCAGTGACATGTATACGTTCTGATTCACCTACGGATGGAATGAAATACTTCTTAGTTGACCACTGTAACCAACGAACATCAGGTAACGGTGAGCCTACCACACTACAAAAAAGTTCAACGCGATTTCCTTCGTATGTATATAGTTTGCTCGGAGGTGTTACAACCAAACCTGGAGGTGAAACAACGTTTATATATGCAACTGCTTCAACAACACCGGTTGAACTAACTGCACGACAAACATAATATCCGGAATCGTTTGTCTGAACACCAATGAAACGTAGAGTTCCACCCAGGAGTAACCTGACTCGTGAATACGGAATACTCGGTAATGAAGGTTCTCTACGCCATATTACAACAGGGGGCGGCTCACCGGCAGCACGACAACTCAGTTCGAAGACACTATGTACGGGTACTGACTGACTTTTGGGAGAAATAATGAAAAATGGACGTTGACGAACAGTGAGGTAGGCCTTCGCACTTTCTCGGCGATGAGCAAACGACTTAGCTACACAAGTATAGTATCCAGCATCTTGCCAGGTTATTCTGTCGATTCGTAAACTTCCTCCATCCAAAAGCTGCAGGCGATTGTCAGGTAATAAGGTTGAATTATCCTTCAACCACTCAACAGTTGGATTAGGAAGACCATAAGGAGGGGCACACTCCAGGAGGACTGTATCTCCAACGTTGGATGTTTTGCTTTGGGGTTCCATATTAAATTTTTCATTCAGAAATGAAACTCTAACATTTGCTTGTTTAGATAGTATCCAGCGAAAGGTATCTGATGCATTACAATAATATTCCCCTTCATTGTCATTAGTCAGCTGGAAGCTATGTGAAGAATGAACAGTATTTCCAATCACTTTTGAACGACCTTGTGAAAAAGATGTGTTGTCCTGTTTATGCCAGGTTATGCTGATATTTGGAGAACCCACAGCCGAACAGCCGAGAGTGATCTGCTGATTCTCTAAGCCATAAACGTCACTTGGTTCATCAATGAATTTTAAATCATAACTATTGAGCCCATTTGAGGCCAAAATAAACAAAACAAACATCGAAGCGACAACACACAAACCCATACTCATTGAAAGACACATTGAAATATGCGCTTTGTAATAACAACCTTGAATGCGATGCACTATAACAATAACCCTTAAATCCAAGAAAAGCATCCGATATCCTTATTTGTGCAAGACATTTAGTAAGCAGGGTGTACTGCTGAACTCTGAGGCTTGCCTTCCGAGGTAAGATACTTGTAGCTGTTAGTGTGTGACACTTTTAATGAACACCTAGCATACTTAGAATATCGATACTGATAATTTCCGATTTCGTCTAAGCTGCATCAAAGCTATTTTATTTTGAGTTTTATATGACTGAATATACTGTCTAGGATATGAAAATTTCGACGATTCCAGATGATACGATGGTGAGACAGTACGCGTTTATCCTACTCAGGGCTGGACTTATTCGTCACTTACTCTAGAAGTTACGTTTGGATTTTTTTTTGCCAATAATTTTTAATAAAATTGTATTATATGTTATCTAGATTGAGGTAAATTCCCACTTTTTGGCTGGTTATGTTTGTGTCCGCCTCATGTGATCTGACTGCGACACACTTTTAGCATATTGGTTGCAATGATTAGTGTTTCAGATGGAATGTATCAAAATGTCGGTGTAATGAGGGAGATAGGATAGTTAGAGGGTAATGCCATTTGCACCACTCATTTACTCCATGTAGAAGCTGCATCTTTCGGCATAGTATCATTCAATGAAGACTTCATGTCTCAGGATATCAATACAGCCTATTTTCGTGTGAAGAACAGTCTTTTTTGACAAAATAACTCTCTCAATACTTGGAAATCACCTGCAAATGTTATCAGAATCGTTGGTGGGAACCTAAGTTGTCATTTAGATGTGCTTTTCACTTTATATGTGGTTGGACAGGAATTATGGTAAGTTGAAAGGTTATCTCTAAATGGATTTCATATATATTGGCACTGGTTGGTGCAGTGTGCTATGGGTTATGTTAATTAAATGTACAAAAATATCTCAACTATAATAATATTGTGCCATTGTGTACTAAGCTGACTGATAGGATAACAAACGAAGGTGGTTACTAGAACTGAATCTATTCAGCTTTATTATCATTAATATGAATTTATTCTCTTTTACAATTTCCACTGACTGTATACTTAATGCTACAATATTTTTGATCACCAATAGTGGAGATGAATTTCTCCTGAGATTTCCATTTAGACAAAGCAGTACAGATGCTCTATGACGATTGAATTTTCTAGTTTGCATTATATGACATTATTATCCTCATCAACACAACAGGTCTGTGTACTTTACAATAGTTGAAGTGTTTCACTATGTTGTTAGCACTGTGCATAGCTGTCTAGAGTTGAGGCATGTTCAGCTTATATTTGATGCCTATAGTCTCCTAAATGTGAAAATGTGATTTCTGTAGGATTCACAAAACCTTGTGGACTAGACATTACTGAGATTGTGGATTAACTTCTAAGTTATACACTTGCAATACTTCATTTCATGTAAAAGTGTTTAGTGTGAAGTTGATCTGCAAGTAAGCTTGATGAGAGAATGACGCCTCAATAGTATGAATGTTTCGGAGATTGCCTTGAAATTTGCATATAGTCCTCAAATGCAGGAAAACATATGATGTATATTTATGTATACGGCGTCAACATAAATATCAGCTGTAGACTACAAATACATTTATCTCCCTGAGATAATACTTAGTTTTAACAGAATGATTGTATTCATATTGTATGCTAATATGTAGAATTGTCTCTTGTTAACTTCATGTTATGCTAGTTCTAACATGTACTTTATTTTTTCCAGGTTTACGGAGGTTGTCGAATATGAAATCAGCGGAAACATCATTCGGTCAAACTAACTTTATTACCCTTCATCAGAATTTTCTTTTGTAAATTAATCAAATGTTTAATATACTCTTGATTACTTCTTCCTGTAGACTTCTTCAATTCCTCGCTATACAATGTGCTTTTGTAATAAGTGAATTAGGAATAATAAACGCTAAGCTTAGTTAGTGGGATGGAAATTCACTGTAGTATTATGAGAATGTTACTTTAGTCATTAGTAGGATTTCGTGTCTGTTTCTACACAATAGCACATTGTAAAAGCTAAGTGGGATTTAGCAAGTTGAATAATAATTCTGTACTGTTGGATACTCTAAAGTCGCCTTATCTAACCAGTTGAAAGTCTGTTTACTGTTAAACGCCAAGTATGTAGTACAAGTAAATGTAGTAACTTAGGCTTGATATCTACTTCACTAATCCGTTAATATGCAGTGATTTCATCAAATAGACTGTTCACTTGACCATCAGCTAAGAAACATTTTTTATTTATTTTAATATGCCGTTGAATCATAGGATGTTATCTAGTATCCATCATTTCTGTGATCAAAAACTGCGGTATTTGCATGTCTACTTTATAGATGTTAAATAACCTACGCCTGTATGCATGTAATTACCTCCAGTATTTCCTATTCATTTGGTGTGTGTAAACTAAACAAGTCTTTCATAAATTCTCCCATAAATGCCAAACTTTCTAGTGTTACAAGCGTTAATAAGACCTGCTTCCTTTGTTTCAAATCAAATGAGGTATATACGAACTAAGGGAAAGTTACTCTTACTTAATCTTTAACCCTCACTCAGAGCCTTTAACGATCCCAAACAGTTCTCCTATAAACACAGTAGACGTACTTTAGATGCAGCTGCAGTCTTGCTTCACAACATTTTCTCCAGTATAGACAATGGGGCTAAATTCGCTGCACCTTCCTAGAGTACACATCCGCTTTCGACTCACTACCTAGAGATATTCTGTTAGATAAGCTTGCTGAAACTCAAACTGAGTATTGGATTGTTAGATGGCTTCATTCTAATTTATCAGGGAGAAAGCAGAACACTGTAGGTCAGGGGGAAGTCGTCCATTACCAATTGTATTTTTGTTTGATGAAGTTATTGTACGAATGCATACGAGAAGAACTTTTTCAAACACGCGGACGATCTAACTACTTCAATGTCTGTTAACTGCCAACTACACCGTACTAAGATGAACAGCTCTCTATTAGGAGTGGGAAAATGCTCTTAAACTAAATCCTTCGAAATGTCAGACTGTTATTTTCAGTTTCCGATGTAAACGAAAGTTAGTTGAAGGTGTTAATTCCTATGACCGTTGCAAAATTGATAATAGTGATATGGAAATGAAGTCTGACTCTAAGTATCTCGGACTGATTCATCGCAGCGTGTTGGCCCTAAATGTATGCCACATGCAGGCATAATGTTTATGAGCTAGGTATGCAAATCATGGTAGACGCTTGTACGGTACATTCATTATTTATAAAACTAACTCGCACGTAAGAACTATGGTTTGATCAGTTATACAACGTTTAATACATTTAGACACAATTAACCTACGATGCTGACTTCTATGACGCATTACCTAAAACTACATTAATATAGTTTCCGCTGAAGGTTATCTCCTATAGTTACTACCTTAGTGGGCAACTTAGCGTTATCTTTGAATAACGAAAATTCCGAGAACTTTCTTGGTAAAAAGATCGTCCCTTACTCGAAAAAATTAAATATACCCTAGTCTCCACAAAAACGTTCAGAGGTATTCATCCTATCACCGCAAACGACTCACTATTTGCAGCCATTTAAAAAGTAAAAATAAATTTACCGATGGCAGCGTGCTTATGATTTCTAGATATCATAATGTACCATGAGGAAAACGCTATCTCCATGCGGTTATAAGTCAGATGTGCGAAATTAGTCAGAAACACAACAACCACGATTCTCAGTCACATAACATCTTACTTCGCTACCTAATCGTATAGTCGTATTAACGGATGTTTCGCCGAAGAAAAGAAGACTACTGGTTCAAGGATAATTTATTTAGTTTTTTTTAAGATCGTGAACATCTGTGTCTATAGTCACGGAAGAATCACAACTTCGAGGAAACCATCAATCGTAGACTACAACCCGAAACGTTATTCTTCCTAATTAATGTCTTACCTTTAACTGGGATTGTTTGAACACTCACCAGATCACCGTATTTTATCCGCTTTGAAAACCGTTTTGCAACCCATCGAATGGATGTTAACACTGGCTCTATTACGGGTAGTCCTAGTTCATTTATTGCGATCTAGTACATCAAGCAATAATAAGCATAAGTAACACTTACCCTTAAGGATTCCAGGTTCTTTTAGTTCCCCCAAAATATACACAAGCACAACAGATTCATACTTTTCATGCGGCTCAACCTTATTTGGCTTAGATTCTCTCACAATATATTTTTTTAAATGATAGCAGACACACGGATGGTATATTCACATTCTCAAAAATCTTCAAAGCTTTTTCAACTTCAACCCAGGTTCTAAATTCTCTGGGTTTAATTTGTTCTTCGAAAACCTTGCTAATACCAACTCTGATGGTGCTCTCTTCAACAGATTCACTCGCAGATTGTTGTATGCTGCAAACATGAACGAAAAAGACACTCTTTTTCCAGATTTCTACATGTTATGCAAGTAACTGAGCCAACAATTGTAACGGCAACCAACTAATGGACTGGAAACAACTGCTTCTGACAGCCAAACATCTTCATGTGCACAATTTCAAAACCCTCTACACAGTACTAATTCATTAACAGCTGAAAACCAACTAAAACACTCAAAGCCGCATGAATGCAAGGTATGAAAACAATTACACCGAAATGAATGCACTGGCCTGGTAGTGAAAACTTTCGAAACCAAAGAAATAATTCATTTTAACAGCAACGGAAACAAAAAATGAGGTGAAACGCAACATTTGTGAACGATACGCAACAAGATAAGTCGTGTATAACGGCAGGATAAACGGAACAACAAACGCGTTAACGAACAGCTACGGAACTGCGATCCAACATGGCCGACTAAAATGGACGAAAATGACCTTCGAGCGCCTCACTCCACCAATGACCTTGATAAGTGACGGATAATTTCAGCCCCTACTCAGACCTCTAGAATACTTATTCATCACAGACCAAATAAAAACTGCAAGAAAATTAGAATGACAGTAATGTTAAATACAATGAACAGTGTATTTCAAGATCGGCTATGCTCAGTGGGGATGCATACGTAACTAGAGATCATACGGAAACAGTCGGAAGTAATAAAACAAAGTGCCAAGGAGAAGGCGCTTTACAAATGGATTAAAGAGCAGTGCATGCAAAGAAAAGAGTTA